ACATTGGGGGACACAAAGGGGACATGGTGGGTGCAGTGGGAGGGGTGGGGGGACACGGGGGGGACAGAGGGGACACGGAGCGGGGGACACAGCGGGGGGGAGGCCACACATACCTTGGTGCTGGTGTCAGAGGTGCTCCTGCAGATGTCCCCAGACTCCCTGAGCGTGTCCCTGAGGTCCCCAGGGGTGTCCTTGATGTCCCTGGGGGTGTCCTTGGCGTCCCTGAGGGCATCCCTGATGTCCCCGGGGGCGTTCTTGGTGTCCTCAGGGGTGTCCCTGATGTCCCTGGGGGTGTCCTTGGCGTCCCCAGGGATGTCCCTGATGTCCCCGGGGGTGTCCTTGGTGTCCCTGTCATGCCCGGGGGTGTCGGGGGTGTCCTCAGGGCTGTCCCCGTTGCTGCCCCTGTTGCTGTCACCGTTGCTGTCACCGTTGCTGTCACCGTTGCTGCCCCTGTTGCTGTCCCCGGTGCTGTCCCCGTGGCTGTCCCCAGGGCTGTCCCCGCGCTGTCCCCGCAGGTGCAGCACCAGCTCCCGGGCCTGGCCCCAGCGGCCCCGCAGCAGCTCCCGCTCCCCCCGGCGCTGCAGCTGCAGCAGGCGCAGCTCCTCCAGGCGCTGCCGCAGGGACTGCGTGCAGTGACACAGGGCTCCTGGGGACAGGGGACATTGGGGACATCAGCAGGGACTGCGTGCAGTGACACAGGGCCCCTGGGGACAGGGGACATTGGGGACATCAGCAGGGACTGCGTGCAGTGACACAGGGCCCCTGGGGACAGGGGACATTGGGGACATCAGCAGGGACTGCGTGCAGTGACACAGGGCCCCTGGGGACAGGGGACATTGGGGACATCAGCAGGGACTGCGTGCAGTGACACAGGGCCCCTGGGGACAGGGGACATTGGGGACATCAGCAGGGACTGCGTGCAGTGACACAGGGCCCCTGGGGACAGGGGACATTGGGGACATCAGCAGGGACTGCGTGCAGTGACACAGGGCCCCTGGGGACAGGGGACATTGGGGACATCAGCAGGGACTGCGTGCAGTGACACAGGGCCCCTGGGGACAGGGGACATTGGGGACATCAGCAGGGACTGCGTGCAGTGACACAGGGCCCCTGGGGACAGGGGACATTGGGGACATCAGCAGGGACTGCGTGCAGTGACACAGGGCCCCTGGGGACAGGGGACATTGGGGACATCAGCAGGGACTGCGTGCAGTGACACAGGGCCCCTGGGGACAGGGGACATTGGGGACATCAGCAGGGACTGCGTGCAGTGACACAGGGCCCCTGGGGACAGGGGACATTGGGGACATCAGCAGGGACTGCGTGCAGTGACACAGGGCCCCTGGGGACAGGGGACATTGGGGACATCAGCAGGGACTGCGTGCAGTGACACAGGGCCCCTGGGGACAGGGGACATTGGGGACATCAGCAGGGACTGCGTGCAGTGACACAGGGCCCCTGGGGACAGGGGACATTGGGGACATCAGCAGGGACTGCGTGCAGTGACACAGGGCCCCTGGGGACAGGGGACATTGGGGACATCAGCAGGGACTGCGTGCAGTGACACAGGGCCCCTGGGGACAGGGGACATTGGGGACATCAGCAGGGACTGCGTGCAGTGACACAGGGCCCCTGGGGACAGGGGACATTGGGGACATCAGCAGGGACTGCGTGCAGTGACACAGGGCCCCTGGGGACAGGGGACATTGGGGACATTGGGGACATCGGGATACTGGGGACATCAAGGACAGGGGGCATCAAGGACATCAGCAGGGATAGCTTGGGGACATTGGGACACTGGGACATTGGGGTCACGGGGGGCATTGGGGACAGCATCAGGGACAGCAGCGGGGACATCACTGGGGACATGAGCAGGGCACAGGCTTGGGGACATCGAGACCCTGGGGACATCAGGGACATCGGGGGCATGGGGTACATCAGGGACATTGGTAGGGAGCAGGGGACATCAGGGACATTGGGGACATTGGGACACTGGGCACATTCAGGGGACATTGGGCAGGTTGGGGACATGGGGCCATTGGGGACATCGGGGGGTTTGGGGACCTTGGGGACATTGGGTCTCTGGACATTGGGGGGCCATTGTGACACTGTGGGGACATCGGGGTGACATTGGGGACACTGGGGACCTTGGGGACATTGGGGGTGGAGACGCTGGGGACATCGGGGATGTGGGGATGCTGGGGGGGACATCGGGGACCTTGGGGACATTAGGGACCAGGGACCTTGGGGACGCTGAGGGCACCGGGGAGCCCTGGGGCCCCGGGGGCGTGGAGGGGGACATTGGGACATCAACGGGGACACCGCTGGGACACCCCCGTGCTCCTCCCAGCGCTCCCAGTCCGGCTCCGGGCTGCTCCCAGTCCCCGGCCCGCTCTCACCCCTCAGCTCGCGGTTCTCCGCCCGCAGCCGCTGCAGCGCCTCCGCCAGCGCCGGCTCCGCCTCGGGCCCCGGCTGCACCATCTCCGCGGGCCGCCGCCAGCGCCCGCCGCTCATCGGCGGCTCCCGCGGGCCCGGGCGCGCTCGGGGCCGCCTTTGGGCCCAATTCGGGGATTTTTGGGATCCCGGCGGCGCCGCTACTTCCTGCTTCCGCCGGAAACGCGTGACGTCACCGTGCCCCGCTTCGCTTCCGCCTCGGTAAATGTCACGGCGGCGTCATAGCAACGCTGAGGGCGGAGAGCGCTGATTGGTTACGCCTCCGGGTGTAGCCCCTCCCGCGCTCGGCGGTGATTGGTTGGTGGGGGGAGAGGCTCGGCGGTGATTGGTGGGTAAGGGGTGAGGGCGCGGTGGGGGGCGTGGCCTCCGTGAAGGGATGGGGAGCCGCGCGAGCGTGGGGGAGGCGGCGCGAGCGCGGCCGGAGCGGGAAGGTGCGGGGGACCGGGAAATTGGGAAATCCGGGAAAAAATGGGGAAAACCGGGGAAACCCGGGGGAACGTGAGGGGATCCGGGCTCTGGGATGGCCCGGGGAACCCATGGGGGCCGGGGGGGGAGCGTCAGGGGGAAACAGGAGGGAGCTGAGGGGTGATGTGGGGGGCTTCAGGGCGGAAGGTTGGTGCCTGCCCCACAACCCCTCAAATCCTGCCCTGGGGTGCCCAGCCCTGCCCCCCAAGTATCCAATCCCGCCCTCCAAGTGCCTGAACATGCCCCCCAAGTGCCAGCCCTGCCCTCCAAGTACCCGACCCCACCCCTCAGTTGCCCCAGCCCTGCCCCCTAGGTGCCCACCCCTCCCTCCAGGTCCCTGTTCCTGCCCCACAACCCCTCAAATCCTGCCCTGGGGTGCCCAAACCTGTTCCTCTGCTCCCGGAATCCTGCCCGGGGTGCCCGAACCTGCCCCCCAAGCGCCCGAACCTGCCCCCCAAGTGCCCGATCCGGCCCCCCAAGTGCCCGGTCCGGCCCCCAGGAGCGATGCCGGGCCCAGCTGAGGAGGCGCCGGGCGCCGGGGGGGAGCTGAGCCGCTCGCAGGTGTGCGGGATGCTCCGGCAGGAGCTGAGCCGGGACGGAGCCTTCCTGCAGGGCCACCCGCACGTCCTCGTCATCCTCGGCGCCTCCGTGAGTGGGGACGGGCCGGGGAAGGGGTCTGGGGGGGAAGGAAGGGGTTTAGGGAGGAACTGGGGGGCTGGAGAGGGAATGGAGGGGGTGAGATGGTTGCAATGGTGGTTTTCTCCTTTATCCTCCTTGTTAATTTTTTTCCCTTCCCTAAGGATTTTGAACAATCCATCTGTAAAACAGGACCTTTTCGGCTCTGAGAGACCTAGCAGCTTTCAAGCAAAGCTGTAATCAAACTGATTTGGGATGTTTTAGGTTTTGGGAAGGGAGTTCAGTTACCTCAGTGCTCTCCTGGCTCCCTGCTCAATGCAGGGCTTAGAGCTCCAGTACTAAAGCAGAGTCACTGGAAGAAAAGTTGTTGTTTGAGCACGGCCAGCTTAGCTGTGAGAATAGAGAAAATCTGAGAAAATCAGGTCCTGAAAGTGTCTTCATGTTTTGTCTCAAGAACAGATCAGTGCTCCTAATCCTGACAGCTGCAAGTAACCATTTGAGAGAGAGGTCGTATTAAGTCAAGATGAAAAATTTGAGAAAGGACTTATTGCAGAAATGTAACATTACAGCTCCTGGCTAAAGTTGAAAGTATATTGAAAAGGGCCCAGCTCCAAACCCCCCCCCCGGTGCCCGAGCCCGCCCCAAAACACCCCAGCCCCGTCCCCCAGCTTCTTACCCTGCCCCCCAGTTGAGAAATCCCGCTCCGCAGGTGCCCAACCCCGCCCCAAAACCTCGAAATCCCCGGGTGCCCCATGCCGCCCTCAAAGAACCCGATCCCGCCCCCAAGTACCTGAACCTGCCCCCCAAGTGCCAGCCCTGCCCACCAAGTGCTCTATCCTGCCCCCCAAGTCCCCCATTCCACCCCCAAATGCCCCAGCCCTGCCCCCCAGGTGCCCACCCCTCCCTCCAGGTGCCCGCTCCTGCCCCACAACCCCTCAAATCCTGCCCTGGGGTGCCCAGCCCTGCCCCCCAAGTATCCAATCCCGCCCTCCAAGTGCCTGAACATGCCCCCCAAGTGCCAGCCCTGCCCTCCAAGTACCCGACCCCACCCCTCAGTTGCCCCAGCCCTGCCCCCCAGGTGCCCACCCCTCCCTCCAGGTCCCTGTTCCTGCCCCACAACCCCTCAAATCCTGCCCTGGGGTGCCCAAACCTGTTCCTCTGCTCCCGGAATCCTGCCCGGGGTGCCCGAACCTGCCCCCCAAGCGCCCGAACCTGCCCCCCAAGTGCCCGATCCGGCCCCCCAAGTGCCCGGTCCGGCCCCCAGGAGCGATGCCGGGCCCAGCTGAGGAGGCGCCGGGCGCCGGGGGGGAGCTGAGCCGCTCGCAGGTGTGCGGGATGCTCCGGCAGGAGCTGAGCCGGGACGGAGCCTTCCTGCAGGGCCACCCGCACGTCCTCGTCATCCTCGGCGCCTCCGTGAGTGGGGACGGGCCGGGGAAGGGGTCTGGGGGGGAAGGAAGGGGTTTAGGGAGGAACTGGGGGGCTGGAGAGGGAATGGAGGGGGTTAGGGGGGAATTGGGGGGGAATGAAGGGGTTTGGGGAGGAATGAGGGGGACTGGAAAAGGGAATTGGGGGGCTGGAGAGGGAGAAAAAAGAGTATGGAGGGAATTGAAGGAGACTGGAAGGGGGAATGGGGGAGATTGAGGGGATGGAGAGGGAATGGAGGGGGTTAGGGGGGAATTGGGGGTGTTGGAGGGGGAACAAAGGGAGTTAGGGGCAGAAATTAGGGGTTTGTGGGGGAATGAAGGGGTTTGGGGAGGAATTGGGGAGGGAATGGAGGGGGTTAGGGGGGAAGTGGGGGAGTTGGAGGGGGAACAATTGGACTTGTAGCTGGATATTTTTCTGTTTGTTTTGCAGGGTAATTCCACATCTTGGGTTTGGGGTATATTGGAGGGCTGCAAAAGGGAATTGGGGTGCTGGGGAAGGGATGGAGGGGTTTGGGGGAATTGGGGGGCTGGAAGAGGGAATGAAGGAATTGGGAAATTGGGGGCCGGAAGGGGGAGAAAGGGGGAAGCAAATCCGAGGGGGAAATGGGGGAATAGTGAGAGCTGCAAGAAAAATTTTCAAAGAAACAAAAACATTCTTGGTGAAAGAGCCTGCAAAGCTATATTAAAGGTCCTAAATGTGATCTTGCACCCTTCACTGAAATCTCACTTCATCACAAAAGAAAACAGAACTATTCTCTGCCCCCCTTGTTTTCTTCTCATCTCTTTCTCTCAGTTGTAATCAGAACCCCCAAATTTTTCCATGGGCAGCACTATTAATTATCCCTGCACAACACCCTACATGACCCCAGCAACACCAACACAGCACCCCTGTCCAACCTCTCATATCCCTTCCTAACCCTTCCAATTCTTCCCCATCAAGGCAGGACCCTGCCACACCTTCAGTCAACCCTTGCATGCCTAGCTGAGGCTATTTGGTTCACACCCTTGATATCTCCTCTCCATAGCTCAGTCTCCTCTCCATAGCTCCTGCAGGCTTGGCTGGGGACTGAGAGCACCCTGTTCAGACAGCACTAGAGGACTGGCCAAGTGTTGGCTGCCTCTGAACAGGCAATGACTCAATTTTTCCTGCATTTGTCTCTGTCCAAATCTCTCCTCTCCTACAACTCTTCACAAAAAGTATGGAAATGCAACTTCTATGCCATTCTGCCAAACGTTCCTGATGATATCACTGGCAGAGACATCTTGGTTACTAATGTGTCATTGTGGTCAGAAACCACGCTCATGAGATGAGGGTCCTCGGGTCTCAACACATACTAAAAACCAAGTTTCACTGTGCTCCCTACAAAGGAACCTCACTCCTCGTTTCTTAGTCTATTAACAGAAACATGAAAGAGCCTATTAAAATTAAAATTCAGAAAGGTGTTGGGAGTTTAAGACAATGCTTGTACATTGGCATACTGATGTTTTTAGCACTGAAGAAAGAACAGAATAGGTCTTGCAGTTCTCAAGAAAACACTGAAATAAAGAAATTAAAACTACATTCAAGTACGTGGGGATAATTGCAGTTTGGGGGTATTTTCTGAATACCAAACATAATTTTGAAGGAACTCCAACTATTTTTAAGGAGAGAAGTGACACATGGAAGTTATTTTCATGTTAGCTGGAAAGACATCGAAGGAAATGCAAATTTAACCCTCAGAGTGGGAAGGGCAAAACTGCAGCACATTCCACTTTCATGAGATTTAAATAAATCTCTTCACTACAGACAAATAAAGCTCTTGCAAGCAAATCGCAGATCTCAGCTCTGCTCCTTCCAGAGGCTGCTGCCAGAAAATCTTGACCTCTTATTTCTTTTAACCATGTGGTTATACATGATTTGGGTGACTATAGCAATCACAAGCTCTTTGTTAACATACCAGCACTGTGCATAAACTACTGAGGAGTCAATGACCTGGGCTCATCTTCCACCCAAGGCACTGATCTATCCTGATCAACATAGTGATTTAACTGCTGCAATGCATTCACTGTTTCAATAAGATATTGGTATAAATTCACTAGGCTGAACATAAGAAGAGTCTCAGCCTTTTCTTTTCAAAGGAAAACTATGAAGCTAATCACACCATTACAAAGAGGCACCTGCAGGCACATCACACACCTCAGGTAACCCAGAACTCCTGAACCCCAAAGTAAACAGACATTTATGGTGTGCCCAGCAACACAAAATGCGAGATGGAAAGCACTAGCTTTTTACATACTTGCATTGCCATCTACAAGACTTCAATGGGGCTATAATGCCGAGCTGGGATCTGGCTTCTGAGCACTGTAGTTTTGGAGAAATCCAACAAAATTTGGAAATTTTTAGGTTGGGTGGTCAGGGTGGGCCAGGGCGAGTGGCCCCCAGGTCACCCCTCGGGGCCGGGGTGGGGCCGCCCCTCCCCCACCCGCACCCCAACTTCCTCCTCCGCCCCTCCCCCACCCCGTTACCCAACACCTCCCATTGAACACGGGGGGGAGGGGCGGCGGCGCTGACTCAGCACATTCCAGGGGGTGGAGGAGGGGCGAGGCCAGCACCGGGTGCGGCCCCGTCCCCTCCCCCACCCCTGAGGACCCCTCCCCCACAGGGCG